ATTTTCTCCATGCGTCACCTAGAAGGATGTTTGAGCCGACACAATACTCTTCATCTGGTGATGTGCCCTAATCGGAGTGTATCGTGAATCCTCCTCCAAGAAACCATAGATGCAAACCTTACAAATAATAGTCTATGATATAGAGACGCCAAAAATCACTAAAGAAAGAAGTAGTGACGAAAGAGAAAATTTCGAATGAAAGAGCTACATTCCTTTTAAAATAGTTTATTAATCAATTATGTGATAACAGAAGATCAGAGGAACTATCAGCGTCACTCAAAGCACACGCCACCCGTAGCATCGAATATAGTGCTGATTGCGATCAAGTTTATGCAGTGATTCAATCTCGTCCTCATTCAACTGGAAGTTCGTCACCTAAATCACGAAAAGATAATAGAATATAGACAAGTGAAAGGAATTATCCACTTCCGCTTGTAAAGGCTGGGTGTGCGATGGAGTGCTCCCTGATGGACTTAAAGCCAGTGTCAATCGTCCGTTCGGACAATCGCATTTGGGGCAGTGTATGAAGCTTTTGTGAGGGGGTTGTATCGAGGTAGACCAGAGTCAAGCGCCTGTGCGGATAACCCGAGCGCGGGAGTCGTATTTGCGGAAACCAAAAGGGCTGTGTTTGTATGAGTGAACGTTATTTGGGGATAGTTAACCGTTTTAAATAGCCAGTTACAGTAGCGATCAAGTGTTCGCCGAATCGGTGTTTTCCGTGCTTCATTTCTTGCCTGAAAACGGTAATTGGTAACCTACAAAATTTTTTCTTAAACACGCAAACCACCCTTGAATATCCTGATTCTTTAAGACTTAGAAATATAAAAACACTAGAAAACAGAGTATTTCAATGTTTGGAGGACGTTGCTCGAGCGAGGAATTATAATGCACCGAAAATCGTTCTTCGGCGAACAACTTTTTTGACCGGCTAACTGTGTATATCCTGGCTTCTTCTTCCCCGCCGAACGGTGGTCTCGAAGGATTTTTTTTTGCCGAGTTGGAGTATGTCACCCAGTACTACTACCAAACGCTATACAGAATAAAATACCATGGAAAGTTATTGTGGTGAAGGTTTATAGGAAGCCGGATCCCATGGATTACGGCATACCTTCAGGTTGCAGTGTTGGTGGTCATATGGGAGACCACAGGTATGTAGACATTAGTAACTTGTCGAAATCCACCCAGCAGTAAGGTTGTTCCAGCTTTGAAGCGACAGCCGATGAGCCCTCCAGCCACACCTCCAGCTGGGCTCTTATGTTTAGAACACCCCTTTGAAAATGGCACAAACCTCCAGGTTGTCCTTTATCCGTTGAGGATTCGTAGACTTGGGTACGATTCCTACACCTTGGCTGAGCGCGAACGATAACAGAACTATCTGAAATATGGACATTAACTGAGAAAAAGAAAAATATTGATCAAGATCGCACCGGAACTGCAGTATTATGCTTTTTTGCCAGATCCACAACCACCGGATCGTTTACGAGTGCTGGTTCATGTCGAGCGAGAGATGAGAACGCCTGAACTGATCACTATATTGACAAGTTCATGCATTTTATTATATTGAAGACAGACTGTTTCTCTCTACACATCATCTGCAGTGCTTATAACATCAGAACGCTCCTGATTTTGCCAACTTGGAGACCTCGGAGGCCAATTGATCCACCTTCACAAACGCAGTAAGGACCGGTTGTCAGGACTGTGGGGAATTCAGCGAATTAACGGGGATCGAGCGATTGCACCAACGGCTGAAGCGGTGCACCAATCGTACGAGAGTGTAACGAGTAGTGAAAGTCGCCCTTTTTCGCATGTTGGCACCAACCCAGAGGGCATAACGCCTGGGAAAGTGGCAGGAGAATTGCGAACAGGAGCGACTCTTGCTATCTTCGCACATTCTCGCACCGTTGGAACAGCTTGTGCACCGCCCGAACCACTGACGCATCGCTGGGACCGCTGGTGCATCGCTCGAACCTCGCGATTCGCTGGCTTCGCAAAGTCTGAAACCGCCTGTAAGCGATCACTAATGGCAGCAATTTCGCAGCTTATCCAGCTCACGATTTCACGCAAAAAGTGAGTGAACAAACCTGGAAGAAAACGCCCTCTTTTTTACAATACTCCTTCAGTTCATCTCGGGTGAAATGAGGATGATATTCCACTTGGTTGGCGCACGGCATCATCTGAAAACTCAAGTCTTCGAGCTTAAGAATAGATATTTGACTGCGGATCTTCGTAAAAACAAGAAGGGAACATAATCGACTGCTACCTTTCCATAACTTTTGATCTCTTCTATATGTCGAGACTCGTAATTTGATACTCCAACAGATCGAATTTTACCTTCATCTGAAAAATGTTGTTGTGTTTGACAGAAAACGTCAAAAATGACGCACTCATCAAAAGTAGGAATCCACTTCATGAATCGTCCGATATGAGCTTTCGAACAAACTTTGTGCGATGCACTCGTAGCAAACAGGACACTTATGAGACCACTCAGGATGATAAAATGACAACGCCTGAGACGTACAAATCGCAGTTAGACGCTAAAAGGATATGGAATTTGATGAACCGTGTTTGAACAGCAGACGAATTTCTAGTCTATTTAAATTACTAGTAGTTTTTAGGACTCTGACATAGAAGAATGAGTCAGCGAAAAAAGACAAGGGTTTGGATCATATGTCGCCCTATTCACTTCCAAGAGAGTCCAGCGCCATAGTGAACCCAAGAACCAACTGGGTTGCTTTGAGTCCGTAACTCTATTCTGCCCCACTACCTCTACCACGGATTAGGAGGCGGCACTCACAAAACTAGAACCATAAGAACAGCACCTCAATCAAAGCTCTACTCAACGGTATTTGTCCCTCGGACTAAAAAAGGTCGCTCAGCTGAGTTCTGTCGCTGGCTGCGAGTGGCCACAGTTGCCATCCACGACATAAAAGTCTACACAACAAGTTGGCTGTGCATCTCGCTCACTGCTGTGCTCTCTCGTTCCTCACGTTGGTGCGCACTATCTCTTGTCATAACATAGCATACATCAACAAAATGGCCCCTAATTTTAGCGCTTTCGATCGTTTCTTTAGTTTCTTCACTGTCGATCCTCTTCGTATCCCGTACATCCTTCTTTGGGCAAAACAACTATTATATATCTTTAGATCGAGGGATGTGTCTTTAGGTTTTTCCTACTGAAAGCGACGCTGTCACTTTAAACGGCCTGACCGACACCTTCCTGCTGAAAAGACGCACCTTTCAAATTCTCAAGCTCTATGTAGGTGAGCTTCCGATGGAGTGGATTTTTTTCGTCTTGCTCATCACATTCCCTGAGCTTTTGGATAGTGAATAAGGACCATGTCGCGATCGTATAGCTGAAAAGGTGCTGCATACATAGTCAGACAATGTTGAGTCTACAAAGCGAAGACTACCTCCTCTGTTCTAAGTTTCAAGAGATTCTGGACCAAGAGCGCTGGCAGTCGCTGCATGGATCATCGCGATCAGGGAAGAACTTTGTGGTAAGGAAGATATCAGAGCGAGATAAGCCATGTTTTGGAAGCAGCTCCTGAACAACTATCAACTATATCTGATACGACCTGCAGAACTGATTGATTTGAGAGCTCCTTGGAACTTGGAACCAGGGTCAACCCTACGTTGTTACTAGTAACAACGGGGGGGGTCGTACCCCGTTCAGTCGCTTGAAATCACATGCGAGTTTGAGGTGAAACTGAAGTTTTTATGGGTAGGTAGGTTGGGTGAGTTGAGGGGCGCAGGAAAAAAATCTGTGTAAATAGAAGGTAAAAGCAGGTAGAGAAGTAGAGAAAAATGGCGGAGATATAGGAAATTTTTTACGGTTTTACCTTCCACCCCCCCCCTCCCCCCGCTCGACGGCATTTTTGGAGGAAAAAGTGGGCGGAGTTTGGTGAGTTGAGTGGTATCAGAATTAAGTACTATAGAGACGATGATGGTGGTCGAGGTGTCGAAAAGGGGGTCGTATCAAATCCACCTTGGGGGAGGGGGTCGTAAAAAAATTTTCAAAAAGTAACAACGATAGGAGTCGACCCCCTGCTTGGAATCACCGCTAGTGCAGCTCCCAATTCGGGTTCATTCACATAGTACTTGGCGGTGTCAAACATACGATAGCCGCAGCCTAATGCCGCATCGACAGCTGGTTTCACCTAGATTTGATCTTATTCTTCTAGATGGACCGGCGACTCATATCTACCCTCTCTTTACGTGAATATGAAAAGCGATTGATATTATATAAGGTATGCACCTCGCACCTGAGCTCCAGTGACTTTGTAGGTTCCCAGTCCCACTAGAGGGAATATGGAAGCCGGTGTTGAGCTTAGCGGCGCCTCCTCGCACGGCATGGAAAGTGGAGGTCATTTCTAAAGAACAACTAGATAATACAGATACAGAGTGCCAACAACTAAGTCGGTAATCAGCCAACAAATAATGCCAGAGAGGAACATCGTGACGAAAGTAAGACCACTTGGCAGTGCAAAGCAAATAGTATAAAAACAAGACTGATGCGAAATTCCTATGCAATAACAGTCATTGAGAGATGGTAAGACGTCTAGACGGTTACAGCGGATCGCCCTATTCATGCCCTTGGGTAGATGGGCAACGATTGTCAGATGAAGTATGAACTTCGAAACGACGGCAATCCTGAGGGATATCCCCGACGTTCAACCAGGATTCAAGTAGGAGTGTCAAATCTGAGTAAGCGCAGTGAGAGGATATAAATCTCGAGGAACTCACCACGAGACAGGAATGTATTAAAAGAACTGCTAGAACCCCGATTAGAACACCCATGATCATATCTACATGACTAAGTAACCTAATCACCCAGCAAACACTTTCCAGGTTGCGCCGCGCATTCGACTTTCCAACAAAAATCATCAAGATCTCGAATGAGCATGTATTTGACCTATACGATAACTCGTATGGTTGATCAATGTAAAGCCAATGCTTTGAAGAGTTTGGCCAGCTTCAAGCTGCGCTAGATGAGTTAAAGATCTCCAGGCCATAATTGCAACGAGAGCGTTATTAGATAAGCCACCACCTCCACCCATTAATTTATGCTGAGGCAGGTAATTTACTAAGCCAAAGCAGGTTCCTTGCCAGATTTTTCCCATGCGCCCATCCATGATAAAAAATTTGGGGAAGAATCAGCGCCTCAGCTAGGCTATGCCAGAGAACAACTTCTAAATCGATTCCGACAAAGGCCCATATTGTCTCTACAAAAGTTTACACTGTAAAAAAATAAAAAGTACTCTTCTCAAAATTACTCTTAGCGTCGTCTTCAGAATGTCCCACATTTCACGGTACACATAACTTCAGTGTATGATACCCGATTGGTTGAGGAGAACATACTGATATCTACAGGGCATCTTACCGACCTATATTATAGGAATTCCTCATAGACTACGCCAAAGATTCGAGAAGCGTTCGGAATTAAACCGTAACAAGCACGAGTATGAACGGGGAAGAAAACCAAAAGAAAAGTGTTAACCAGGATATAAAACAGGTGCCAAACTTGTCCCGGCAAGTTGGAACTTCTTCGCACATCGCTAGCTGCGCAAACATTGCATAGGCTCGCGCCCATTCAATGCCAAACGATTCCCCAAATGGAGTATAAATGCGATGCGATACCAAAAGGTCTGACCATTTATCGAGGCTTTTAACCCTAATTCTAACATACCTTGTGAAAAAGTTCTAAAATGCATGAGTTTTCATTTCGGAAGGGGGGGAGTGGGGCAACGTGCACCAAACCATAAACGGCTTCCTGGGGTAGCCATCCATTAGCGGGAAGTGGCAGATAGCGGAGCTATTGCAGCAAGGATGGGAGTCTGAATTCAGCACTCAGGATAAGAGTTCCATTCTCTCGGCGTTGGTGTTTGCACTGAATTTTGGAAGAGCAAAATACAGCTTTGCAGTTAATGACCCCACAGGACTCCTTCGCATCTCCAAAGGCACATTGAATGCTCTTACAATTAATGAATAGCCAGCCGAAATAACGTGGTGGCAACGATACACAGATTTTGATTAGCGCCACCATATTCAAATATCCGCCCTTTTTGATACCGAGTTTTACTCCACTAGCACAGCACAATAAGTCGAGTCGCGAACAACCACATGCTAAGTTTAGCCAAGAAAACCTTGTGGCTTTCACAATTTCAAAGTAGCGTACCGATATATGTTAAAGCGGTTGGCAACTTCTGGCTCTACTCGGTGTTATTAATATGACTTTCCCCTAGTCCAAAATTATAGTGGGGTGAGCAATAGTTCTTGCCTTGCTCAATAATCCCGATTTTGCAGGGTGGAAAGCTCCGGGGTGGTGAAGCAAGTTCTTCCAACTTCTGCTTAACCTTTATAATAAGAGGAAATATTTGTTGTGATTTGAAGTGCGTTTAGTGCTTTTCATCACAATGTCCCTCCACGTACCATACTTGAGCCCCTTCATATTAATCGTTCATTATTATATATCATATTATACAGGGGGGGGGGCAAAAAAAAAACCCTATGTCGCACTTCGGCCTTTTTTCTTCGCAGAGATTGCCGTCGTTGACGGAAGTTCCTCAGCAAAATATTCCCTAAATGTCCCTCTATAAGTACACGCAGGCCCTCCTTCACTACCCTCACCGTCTTCAGAATATGACGTCATCTGTCACCGTCGTCGAGCTCAGGGAGGCCTACAGTAACTGCTTCAGCCTGAAGCTCTTACATAATTTCTTGGATCGATTCAACGTGGGATAGTTTCCTAGGGACATTAGCTCTAACTATGCAAACCCCCTCGGAACCCGCCCTTCGGAACCCGTCGTAACGGTACACGATCAGTCGAGAACCCCATTGAGCTCGACCAGAGCACCATGTTTCCGGGGCAAACTTTTCTGATGCCGTCCACGTAGATGAAGATTTTCTTATGAAATGAAATGCGCTCTTCAATTCTAAGTTGGGAGCACACGCTTTGAGCTGAGCAAAGTGTGATTAAATCCATTTGAGTCTGGAGACAAAATGTCTTTTTTATTGCCCCCCTGTATATTATATCCCTATTCTCAGGTCAATGTATAACATATTACATTTATTTTTTAAGTTTCAAAGGGAAAAAGAGGACTAAAATTAAATAGAAAACAAAAAATAAAAAAATAGAGGACTGAAATTTCTAGTACATTCACCTGGCTGCTAAGAATAAACAAAAAAATCTCAGAAAAGCTTTCAGTTTCGAAGCAAAAGAAAGCAGAGCAAGAAACGATAATAATATCTGGAAACGCTCGTTGGGAGAACGCGCTCAAGTTTGAATAGTGCAATGGGGTAAAAGGACATCCTCAGAAATAACACCGCGTGATGCTACTAACCCAAGTAGCGGGTGACCTTGATCGGGATGTGGGTCGATAGTGCGGAGGACCCCACTTAAGTATAAGAAAACGACATCCAACGGCCAGGTGATTCAGTGCAAGAGTACGATCCAACGAAAGCTTGAGCGTGCACTAATGCGCGCATTCTGTAGCTGCAGAAACAACCGCTTTTACGGAGTTTTCCCCGTTCGCGGGCTCTCATTAGACTGCTACTGTAGGCTTTGCTAGGCCACTTTTACATCAAAGTCTCCTCGAACATATCGGATAGGATGCGAACCGATTTCAAGTTGGTTCGAAGGTAAAGGTGATAGACAAGCATGCCTTTGTGCTTTCTTTTTCATACGGAAGAAGCCTTAGGGGCTTCGAAACAGGACATCTAAAAACCGCTAGCAGATGACAGTAGGACTAAGTCCAGGAGAGGGAGAAACGCTAGGGAGAGCAAGGCTTGCTCACATCCTCCTTCAGAATCCTTCCTTCTTCTTAGGCTGCTTTCATAGTTCGCATCGGTGCGCGGTCGGTGCCGACGGCGCCGACCGCACCGACAGTGTGAAGAGCGTCAATACGCGCTCTGGCGCATGACGCGAACGTTGGGCGCAGATCGCGTGCTCCGATCGATAATCCTGGTTTTGGTGTATTTCTTGTGCTTTTCGATGTTTTTTTTTTCGCGCCGTGTTGCTTTAATTCGTGTGTTTCCTGTTCATACTTATTCTTTTATGGGCGCAATGTGGCTCGGGGGGGGGGAAGTCGGTGCGCGGCTCAGCGATGTAGTGTAACTCGAACATTCCAGCTTTTCACGGGACATTTCAGCTTCTCACGCATGCTAAGTGACTGCCCTCACCCCCCCCCTGAATTGGCTACACTCCCCTGGCTTGCGAATTTCCTGTTGCCGCAACGCCCCGCGCGGCGGCTGCCCCCCTCCGAGCCACATTGCGCCCTTTTATGTCTTGATTAATACTTTCCAGTTGTTCCGCGGGCGAGCGACGTCGTGAACCCGTCGCACAACTCCGGGTGGATGTGGCCATACCGGGTGTGTTGGTCGTAAGCAATTTTGTTTATTCATATGAAGTGAGTGCAAAAAACATCGAAAAAATACAAGAAATACACCAAAACCAAGATTATCGACCGGAGCGCCCCATCTGCGCCCAGCGCACGCGTCATGCGCCAGAGCGCGTGTTGACGCTCTTCACACTGTCGGTGCGGTCGGCGCCGTCGGCACCGACCGCACCGATGCGAACTATGAAAGCAGCCTTAAGGCTCAGTCCCAAGTCTGCGCGAACGTGGCTACTATCCGCTTTCAGTGTTCACGCCCTCCCTACGACATGAGCGAACCGCAGTCGCGCTCAAAGAGCTCGACCAACCAAAGTGTATTGTCCTCCTTTCATTTATGCTTGACCTAGTTCGTCACTTTTCAGTGAGAAAAAATAGATCTCAAGCTGTCAAATATTTCGCAGATAAGCCACGCAACCGATTTTATCCAGAATTGCAGTGGCATTTGAATGCGGATTGTTCCAATTACTTTTGCGGAAATGCTGGTGTGCACATGTACTTGCTTACACTGTAAAGACTGACAGCACCGGTAAACCAGCCTGGGGTGTGAAAAACCCTAGATGGCCCTGCCGTGTTTTTTTTTTTCGATACTTACATATGTGGTGCAACCAATAGTGATATCCGTATGTTACCGCCTTCCAGGGCCTTTATGATGTGGGAATTTGGCCCAACCTGAGAAATGTGTGAGGCGAGGCAGACGTCGCTCAATTACACGACATATTATAGCATGTCGGGTCCACGTCCACTGTGAAGGGGCGTGGCCCGGGTCACGGTACCAAAGGAGGCTGGCGTTGGCTAGCCGGGGCTCGACAGTGATGGTCCAACCCTGACCATACTCACCCCGCTCTTCTACCCTGTTCTTTACCTACCTATTATGTCTAATAAATATGTATAGCCTCACCATCTTTTTATATAACATACCGCTACACACATTCAGATATAGGCGTCATGAACCTGTAATCTGA